TTGTTACGAATTTGTTATTTCTGCAGTATGGAGATATATATATATATATATATCTGTTTCTCTATTCGTCTATAGTGCCTTCCATTACACGTTGAAGAATATCCTGTATCAAGCATGTTGCATAGACGTTCTCGAAGTATACAGTAATGTCGAACGACGTCAACTGTGGTTCTGACAGAGGCGACTTGTTTCAGCTTCTCGAAAAAGCTCTGAGCGTCTTTCGCGCTATATTTCAATTTACAAGCGTCTACTCTTAGCAGAGGGTACAGTATAAGCTTGACTTTGCCAGAACTCGGCATTATAACACGAAGCAACTAATCAAATTTATCCAGTTTAACCAGTTCATACGATTCAGGGTTACGGTTTGAATCTACAGCAGGCAATAAGGTATCTATTTCTTTTTTGACCAACATGCTTTCAGAGAAATCTGCTTCAGGGGTATATATGGAAGTAGCAGAGTACATCTATGTCACCGCATAGATCGAAAGTTTGTCTTAGAAGCGTGATGGGTAATTCGATATTCTCCGCTGTACGTACATTTTAAAGTTAATGTGGTTACATATAAGGAGAAATAGATAGCGCCACATCATTCACAAAGAGAACAGGGTATCTCTAATCAACAAAACAACACAACATACATTACAGCAGGAGCTCAAATTCCATGGAGAAGTGGCCTGCTTATGTGCCAATTTCCATCCGGTTAAATTCTATCCATTGCGAAACCTCCAAAACGAGAAATATGCTTATCGACATTCTGACGTAGTGCTCAGTTTCGTAGGCAAACTTTAGAACAATAATTCAAACTATTGCATTGAATCACAAGCTTAGGACCTTAAACCGTTGCGGCATTATCATATACTTTTCTGAGAGTCAGAAGGTAGCAATAGCATATAAAAATATGCCATTGTATTATGCCTCTTCCTCGACCACATTTCATGACTTACTGTATCACCCCCTTGTTCCCAGTGGTACCTGAAGCGGGAAGGCTGTGGACGTGGTGCAGGAGGGGGGGAGGTAGGCAGAGATTTATGCAGGACACAGCTTCGTCGCATTTCAACGTCTGCAGTGTCAGGAGCAACCTCCCGCTCATAGGATGCGCCAGCAACATGTCATCCCTACTCATTTTTGCAAAGGCCGAAGTGTTTACCTATCAACTTTTTTCGTCATTCGACCTACCTCGATGCATTGACATATTTTGATGTTCATGTTGCTACATGTAAACAGCAAAAGCCCAGGGTACATTATTCTCCGTGGAAACAATGCAGTTCCAACAACGAAAACGATGCAACATGTCGCTGAATGCCCGCCAATTCCATGCAGACGTGGCCTGCTTACATTCACCCATCCTTCCGCGTCAATTCCATCCACTCTCAGCCCTCTAAGACGGGAATAATATTCTTTGATTCGCCTTACTCGGTGTTCAATTTTGTAGAGAAACTTCATCTTTTGTATCGCTCTTACAGTGATGCATACTGACAAAATACTGTCTTATTTTCATCATATCCTTCCTACATTTTTTAAGCTTTCGCCAGTCCTGAAGTGTTCTTCTCTTTTTCATATGCATGGAAATGACTCCAGTATTTTTATTTCAATCAGCCTGTTTCTGTCTTCAAAAGAAACGATGCTGTATTACGCAAAAGAGCTCATGACAATTACCAAATTCGCCGACGACCTGGTTGTCACCTGAATCTATCAGAACACTAGATGGTATGGCTGACAATCGCGCTGCTGTGAACGAAGTAGGCAAATTTGCTTCTGGTCTCTGTCTCATTTTGAATGCTTAAAAATCAACTGAATGTCGATTTATAATGGGTGGGGGGACACCGACTGTTCACTATCGACTTCTGCACAATAGAGATGTAAAAACGAAAGGCGAACTCCTGCAGCTGACAAAGGAGATAAAACATCTTGGCGCCATGTGTCTTCAGACTTAAACTGGCATGCCCACGTCTCAGTAGTCTTCAAGGAAGTCTGCAGAGCGAGCTACTATCTCAAACGTTGGACCATTTCCAACGTACCACAGTACTTCGTTCATAGATTTTTAAAAGTTTCTATAACGCTGCCAAACACCGCTGACCGGCAATTTCCGCAACAAATAATGAAGCGAATTTGCTTACGCCATGCCATACGAGTAGTTTCAAGAATTTGCCACATGGATTTTGAAACATTGGCCAAATTCATTGACCAGACAGTAGCAAGAGCCGTGAAAAATTAGGTAAAGATTTTAAATGACAGCTCCCACTCGCTCAATGAAACGATATCAAGATGCAAATGCATTTTTATATATTCCCTAACTGGTCAATCGCTAATTCTCTTTATATCGCGCTGTTTCGTAGATCGTTGCAAAGTTGAAAGTGAACTGTTACACAATCTGTGCTAAAAGATCCATTTGTAGTAAGGTCACAGGCAATAAAGATGAATGAAAGGCAATAACTCTAAACCTTTGCACAGAACCTCCCCGTTATAAAATATTACGGTGTTTCAGCAGTAATACAAACTACTACAAAGACCGCAACCTTCTCTGAGAAGCTTTATGCGTCATTTGACAAACTCCCGTGTACGAATGGATTTTATATTTATGCCGTTACATACTAGTAGGAGCTCTTGCAACATCATTTGCAATGAGAACATGGTACCTTAAGAACAAAACGATGCAACATACAACACTGAATGCGTGTAAATTCCATTGAGCAATCACCTGCTCATATTCCCGTCTGCGTAAATATGATCCATTCTCAACCCTCTAAAACCGCAATATTCATTGGTTCGCTTGACGCAGTGCTGGACTTCATACAGAAACTTCAAAACAAGAACTCGATTTTTTGCACAGAACCATCCCGTCAGAATATAACTGCGAAATTACGGCATATACTCATGAGGCGTTTGGAAATAATAGTATACAACAAAAGGACATCACTATCACAAATCCCTTTACGGACCAGAATTCACGATGTACAATACCGTTCGCCTGTTCCTAGTTACCTGGTAATCAATGCTCAGGTGTTGCGTTACGATTTCGAATTTCTCCCTTGAAGTCAAATTCAATAACACATTGCAAATATCTGAATTTTGACTATGAATTCGATATATTTTTATATAATCTTGTCGGTTTCTTAATGCCCTTAATCCACCCAGCATCATATCAGAAGTACAACTTTGGTATCACTTCCTCAAAAATATAGCCATTATTGCTTACGTATTTGCAATACCATCCATCATATGAATAGCCATTGTGTTGCGACAGTCATTTAATTCCACTACAACAAAGACGAAAAATATATTTCAAATTCGGAATTACTAGAAGGACATCTGTCGGGAGCTTCGCCC